TCACCCAGTTAAGTAAGAAGCTGACAAACATCTAAGAACACAGTCATATTTGAAACTGAAAAATGGATAGAAACTTACTGCCAGCTACACGTTGGTCCAGACAGTCAGTCACTACTGAACAACGTTATTGCATATACACCAACCGGCGATAACATTGTTGTACTTGAGTACAAGACACTCCAAAAGGTGAGCGATAAATTAGGAAGACACCCGCAAGTAATATACTACCCGAATCTCCAATCACGAGCAAAAGGGCTGATACGCTGACGGTGAAAAAAGTCGAATGACAACCGAAATGCCCGTGCGATATGCGCAGTTCGCTGCTTTTATTTCGGGCAGCCAAACCAGATTAGGTCTCAGACAGTTTGCATCCAATTAACTTTGAGGTCATCCAGCTGATCCAACAGCAATCAGGCGTCTACTGTCGACCACAAAACAATTTGTTCTTTGTAAGCAAGAAGGACGGGTATTCGGGCGGGCCTAACTTCAGATAAGTAGATTTTACGATATTTTCCCAATGAGTCAGAATCACTATTGTTGAACACACAACCCTTCTGTCAACAAAGGGTGGGTTCAATACACAAACTTGAGCGCAGGCAGTGCTCGACTTAGCGGAGTTTTGACCCATTACCCTATTCGTGCAAGGGCAAATCTATCGCTTGTTCCCAAATGCAAATACGTTCAGCATTGTGAATCCATTCGTCTAGCTTATTCAGACTGACCATTCATGGTCAACATTAATTAGTACAGAACTGTGAATTAGTAACCGCTGAAGCAGAGCCGCTTGTAAATTTGATCTGGTTCTTTGTCTTCCGGAGTCTCTTGAGTGTACAGCAAACCTGGCTGATTCCCACATTCCTAAATATCCGATGTCGGATGCATCCGTGCTATATTTCACAGTCTTGACACGATATCTTTAAGTCATCTGCCGGTGACCTGAAGTAAAATTTCGATGAAAAACGATAAAAACCGTCTCTACTGTATACTTGAATTGACTGCTGTATTTACAGTCTGCCCTAATATCCTGTACAAAAGCATCTCAGGGGTAAATGCATTAAACAAAACAAGCGGTTCCACAGTAAACTCATCTTTGTCTCGGCACGCACAATGAAAGTTACGACAAAACTTGTCCCCCACAGAACAGTCGAACATTATTACTAACTTTTTACGCTGTTCGTATAATGCCAAATAACTACGAGGCCTGTATTGAAATTTCTCTCATATGAAAGCTGGATGTGGTTAGCCTTGAAGATTACTTCAACATAAGCTCCGTCTCGATTCTGGCCCGCCGAGTGAATGCAACAGTTTTGATCACATTGGTCGCACCGCTCATCGCAACGTAACGCATTCATTAACGACGCTTGCAGGAGAGCATGAATCACGATGGCGTGATGCATTTATTTGTTAATTAATTTGATGTCAACGGGCGATTCATCTGAATCTCTCTTACATGGCGTTCCGTAACTAAATATGCTGCACTCTGACTGGATCATATAAACACCGACTTCGCACACTGAGGCAATCGGCCCTCCGATCACAGAGGTTATTTCTGAAGTTTGTTGACAATAATCTCATTTGCAATTAGAACGCAGCATGAGCCATTTATTATTAATGCTTCACACGAGATATACAACTATGCGATGTACACCTGACATGATGTGATGAAGCAGACGAAGTAAACTTGAAAAATTACGCAACGCTTTAATTAGAACAAAAGTCAAATTACGCCCACGACGTAAATTGTTGGGTTATTCGTAACCGATTGATCGTTTAAAACGGACGCTCCCAAAGTGCAAATGGGATAAAATTATTCCAGATTTGAAAGCTTTTTTCGCCGCGATTTTCGCTAGAATTTAAACATTCTTTAAGGCAGAAATGTATCTAAATAGAATTTCAACTGTTGGTCACGTTCCTTCTGTTTTTTTCGAGACAGTTGAGGAACGCGAACGATACCCCATCCCAAGTGCACCGGAACCAAAAAGTGCACTGGACAGACGATCGGATAATTACCACTGTTAAACTAATCTGTTGATGTGCACTATATTTTTGGGTCAAAGAAATCTGGTTTCAAATTTGTTTGGGTTTGGAATATCAATTTCATCCAGTGAACAACATCATGTAAATAAACTCTGGTGAAAGTTAGCATTGAATCAAGCTTTTTCTCATGTATCATGCACAGTGTATGGCGACTTTCCTAATGACTTCTACACCGATTGTGTATCAAAATTCACAAATGCTGCAAAACCTTAGACCTGTTCTTGCTGATCAGCGCAGCTTTCTCTATACAGTGGCCCTCCGTGGAAATTTTTCCTGCATATTAACAATTCCAGGAAGTCCCAACCTAATTACGCTCACATGAATAATACAACAAGTAGACAAAAGCTGCAGGAGGTTAACATTCTGCATTTGTCTCTCCATCCGCAATACTAAATTTAAATATAATCGTAATTGAGAATACTCAGTAAATAAAAACAGTGAAACAGAACCAGTCGTGTGGTTGGTACAGCCAGACCCAGTTCTCTATTCTAAGGCAGGCTGATGGCTTATATCAAGGCCTTTTGTGCGAACAAGCCGAGTCCGTATAGGTCAACCGACATGGCCTCACTAAAAGCTAACGATTTCAATTTGACATGGAGCGGTAAACCCCTGAGCGCTGTATTTAGTTCACTCTTGTGTCCACTGGATAGAATGTATCTGGTAATCTATGAGGCTGGTTTTCGGGGCTCAGCTTACAGATAATTTGTCGATCTTGTTCTCCATCTTCACTTCCTTAGTGAGAAGCCACTTACAAATGACGCTGATTTCTATTGGGTACCAAAAGAACGGGGCTTTCGTCATACTGTTCGATATATCGGTACTTTAGTTGATTGATTCTGACATCCCTCTCGCTGACCTGTCACCAAACCGAACTATCTGTATTAGGATACTGAAGTTAAAAAGTCATGGTGTATCGTTATATTCTAGCTTTCAGGGTATCAGTCATGGTTTTTTACAACTGCCGAGTAAATCGAATGATGTGTCCCAATGATAACAACTTTAGTTGTGCGCTTGCAGTTAGTTTCATCGTGTTTTGTGATCAATCATCGCGCGTTTTTGGCATGACCTCAGTGTTCCGAAGTCGCGATATCATTAGTAATCCAGCCCTACTTGGATATACTGAGCAGTCAAACTAGTCATCAGCTTTCAACAGATGGTGTATATTCTACCAGAAAGACGAAAAGAGTTTATTGACGAGACGACAATATCCATTTCGAATTCCTCAGTTGCCAGGAGAAAATATGCTCTGGTCAATTCACAACATATTAACGGCAAAGAGGAAACCACATATTAGTGCTGAGTGTTCTGGACCAGTACTACTTGAGCATACAACACAGTTTGCTTCCGCCTAATTAGGCTTACCTCACTCAACCCTTAGATTCACAGTGTGGTTGCGTGACTTAAATGCGAATGGCTGACTGAAGTTTGACCAATAAATAAGATGTTATTTCTATTCAATAACTTGGGTTCCTTGAGTGACTGCTCAAGGGATTAGTAGATTTGATCATTGCGAACATCTGAAACCTGTTAAATTATTGCTAAGGCTTAGCGCAACACTAGCAGCAACAGCCCGATCATGTCGGCTTCCACTTCCACAAACTCTCTAAGCAAAATCAAGTGCAAATCTAAACACTTCGCTAAGACTTATTAAAATACAGGGACAAAAAAAGAGTTTAAGACAATCTCCATAGAGCCTAAAGCAATCGTTTTAGACCCATCCAAGAAGCAGTCACCATTGGCCTTTGTTACAAAGTGCTCGTTACGACATGCACCATGTTACAATTCACTGCTTCGCAAATGAGCTCCTGTTGACGCATTGTTAAGGCGACGCGCTGAAGCCTTCTCATGACCAGTGACCGAGAGTGCTCGTTACAACATGCACCATGTTACACTTCACTGCTTCGCAAATGAGCTCTTGTTGACGCATTGTTAAGGCGACTCGCTGAAGCCTTCTCATGACCAGTGACCGAGTCGCTCTACTTGACGTGCGTGTCATGAACTTAGTGGAACGTGCTAGAGTAAGCGAGTAAAATCAGGAAACGTAAATGCTGTGAACAGACCCGTGCACCACCAATTCACATTCCACTGAACTTCACCACTATCCCAATACATCGCTGACTAAGCCGAAATGATTCCCACGGCTGGACCAATTCTGAATCCGTGCTACTAGTTAACCTGTTTGTTGGCACATTTTGGCGCACACCGCAGGCTAGCGTCTTCGGGCCAACATAATCAATGCACATTGTCACATTTCACCAACGTACTTCACATCAGCGCCAAAAATAGATTGGCCAAGGATAGGTTGCCTGGTTGTTTACCCAGTGATTTTGCTGTCAAATTTGTTGTTGTGCCACAACCAGTAGTCCTGATGGTTTTGCTCACCACCTAATCAACATTCAGGGGGTACCCGGTGGTTATCTTTGGTATTTTTCCATAACAGGAGACGGTTCATGCATCCCCAGTCGTTTTAACAATGTAACTTAGTTGCTTTAAGTGTGGCATTGCATTCCACGCCGCGTACGAGAGGACGCACGCAGATGAGTGGAGGTGACGACCAAACCGCGGTCACCATTTGGGATAGTACGGAGTACACAACTACGCGTCCGTACCGTGCTGCGGACGCACACAGTCAAATACCGGAGGAAACGTCGATAGCTGTGTGCAGTCGTTCCCTACAGGCACCTAACCTAACCACCTGTAAGGTCCTGTGGTCATCTATAATAGGATACTACAGTGCACACATGCATTATTGTGCAACGAAAACACATTTGATGTCCAACCAAGTAGACCAAACACGCACACAATTTTAACTAATCCCACACAACACTAAGCGGGAACTGTGTTGTGTGCGCAGGCGTAACAGGGTTGTCCGCACTGCCCAAGTTAGACATGAAGTAGAACATTTTTCAGGATCGTATCAAGACATATTCACGTCTTGATCGACTTACCCATGTGGTGGCTCGGCCAAAAGCAGATTTGAGGGTTTAGTCGAACAGATTGGAGGCTGCGAAGCTTCGTTTAACATATCCTTTGAGGGCATTTTTAAACACTTGACTGCAAACACCAACCCGTTTCAAACCGAATTCGACTGACGCAGCGGCAGATCACCAACACTACCAGTACTTTCGAGACTTTCCTTCAGTTATTTCGCACATTTCTCAGAGACAAACACACCTGCATAGAAGCAAAAAACATACGAGTCCCGAACTTCATATTCATTCCGATATTCACAAGTTGGAAATACTCAGACTTCTTCAGAACCGTTTGATCCGTCGCGTTTGGAAAAATTGATGCTTAATTCATCTAGCCACCGGCATCGTGTATAGTAGCCACAACAGCACCAAAATGTCTGCAGGTAAGTTATATGCTCAGCCTCACAATCCGTTACGTCTGTTTCATTTTGGCAAAAGACGACTAACGTTTCTGCATTATTTGGGATATTTCATTGAAAACATGTAGAAAGATGTTGCTAGTTAAAGCAGACTCTGCCTTCCTCTTGGTCTTGCGTGAAGTCAGTGATTGCTAGGGTTTGGTTCGACTTTCAATTATGTATATTCAGAGTTCCATTTATTCGAGTTTCTCGATACCAATTTAAGATAGCCAGTTAGTTTCCCACCGCAACGATGCTGTGCAGAACAGCAAAGTTGAAAGCATGTCTTCGATCGTTATCTATGAAATACCGAAATCGTGACCGGAAATGGTTCGCTGTCTACCCGCTAACATTGGTTGACAGCGTGGGTGCGATCCGAAAAGAACTATTTTGACTAATCGACCCCGTCTCTTAAAGATGTTTTTGCTACTTCTTCTACCAACGTGTATGATGTCTACGACTCTCTCAACTGCACAAAATCGCTCTTATTTCAGCTATGTACAATAAGGACTGTGTTAGAAATACAGGAGTGGTTTGTCATAAGTGTATTCCAACTAATCCAGAAGTGTGCTGAGTTTGACATTGGAAGCGATATAGCCGTCAGTGGGAAAGTAGATGTTTCCTCTGAAAGTATGTTAAGGACCTAAACTTGTAAAAATTATTCTTGTAGCCTGAGAAAGTCCTTTTGTTCATAACCTTTTTCTTGCTCCCCCTTCTATGGTTGGGTTTTTCTGAAGCCCTGAATATCGCCCGCCACGAGAGATCAGCGACAACCTTGTGAACTGGTGAATGACCACATCTCTTCACTTGTGTGGAGCAATCACAGCTTCACTAGTTTCAAAGAGATCTGCCTAGTTTGACTAGAACTAGCCATATTCCTCAAAGCGCAATCCTCGTTAGGTTGATTTTCGAACAGCGGTTACGCAGATGTTAACAAGCCAGTCCAAGTCAAGTTCTGTGTGATGAAACAGAATGGTTATTGCTGAAGAAATGACAACGGTGTTATTGGCTAGCTCATATGCATTCATTGCATGCATCCATTGGGATTGACTGATACCCGCTCGATAATAGGTGGTTTCACCGGAAACAAATGCTAGCTATACAACTGTGGTTGCGCTGCTTACCTTTTCGGAACTAACTAAGGGTACACCCCAGGTCAATTTGGGGTTAGCTTCCACCAGTGTCGTCACGCAGACCAAGCTGGATAATCGTGAAGTTTTTAATGAGAAGGTGCTGAACTCATTTTAAATAATCTGAGTGTATAATCGGGTCTCTTATTCGAACTGCTATCCCCTATGCCATGCGCAGCTTAAGCCCTGATATTATTTTGTCTGCCCCTGAAGTCCAGTAGTACTCTGTTGAGAGGAATAACAGAAATCATTTTTCAACCGCCGTGCCACGTAAAGCCTTGCATTCGTTTGGTGGTGGGGCGATTCCCAAAGGACTAACAAGTCACCTATCACTTGACAGAATACCTCCCATACATAATCACACATGAAAGAATTTAGCCAATCGCTGTTTGGGGACAGGTCTCTGTTCTGGGTAGATGGACCAAATGGACAGTATGACTAAGCGGTTTAGTGCAGCTAGCTGCCCAAGAGATGGTCAGGTGAACACAAATCTCAATCTCAAAGTGTCTGGTAAATGTTTGAGATCCAAAGTGCCGAGTACTGGTCCAAACTACTAAAAGTCGTGTTTTGCAAACATGTAGACCTGTGAGTTCTGTAAACTCACAATCTTACACTATAGTGTTTGACTGTAGTACGGAATATGACAGTATGCCAGTAGCTGACATGATCACTTACCAATGGTTGTTACACTGGTTCTTCAGATGCGCCAACCTGTGCACAAAAGTGATTCGATGTTCTCGTAGTCAGCCATCACAACATCTGATTTCTCAGTCGAATCTAATTATTTTCTTCACAGTGTCCCCTCCGTCATTACACCCCAAACCAATCTTGCAGATTTGCCGTACGAATTCAGAATGTCAGTTTATCTTGGGGATTCTTTTGGTTCTTGACCACCCGTAAGTCAGGATGGAAGTGAGGAACTGTCATAATGGATGGGAATAATAAACAGATGCCCAATAATAGACCACAAACACAAAGTGTTTGTTTACTATATTGCCGGCCCTGCGGATGAAGCTCGGGAAATATAAAATGCAAACTCTCTAGATAAGTAACCTTTCACATGCTGACTGATAGGTACCGTTCAAAGCTGGACAGTGTTGGAAAGTAGTAGGGTGACGCACAAGTCGCGGTACCGACCCGCAAAGTCCGTTCATGAACACTGCATGGAGTGGCGTCAAGCCGGGTCGGTCTTACTGGCTTTTGGTTTCTAAATAGGGAGAGATAGGTCACACAAGAGCGAAGTGTATCTTAACCATTCGACATTTCCAATTGATTCTTTGTCTAGAAACTTGCATGGTGCTGAGGGTAGCAGATTAAAACTCTCAAACGTTTGCCCTTCTAAATGGCCTGCTGAGAGGACGAGTACAAAGAAGATAAGATCCACGTGCAAACTAATTTGGCTTTAGGGCAAGACACAAGTGAATTCGGCTGAATCCTTCGTTCATTATATTCTTCAACTGAATGCGCTGCACCAAAGCTACGCCGTTTTCTAGTTAGAACAGCACTCGAGATATCGTGGTATATTTTCTGGGGGGAACATACTACTCATAAGTTTGCTGAAACTTCCTGATAGCCTTACTACTGGTTTAGTCCTTCGTTTGCAATATCAAGTGAGCACAGCCCCCCGTTTTCATCAACCATAGGTTCCGCCTAAACAGAAATTCTAAGCAATGCATGAAATGCACTCATTCCTAGATCATTTGGTTTTAACGAAGACTCTCGTCAAAACCAAAAGTTTTAAAAATGACTGTATTTCGATAACTATTTAGAATTTGGATTCTAATTGGACACAAGCTTGATGGAATCTCGGGAACCATACCTTCTGATAATCGTAAAGAGTAGCGGAACCAATCATGCTATGTCCATGAGCTTTTGGCAGTCTCATGAGTATCATGATCTGTCAACAGGAGTTTTGGTTAAAAGAATATCTTTTGCGACAGAAATTCAATCTGTGTGTCACTGGTGTATCATCGCGTTCACTATCGTTCACGCTCGCTCAGTGGCTTTATGTCCATCGATTAAAATGGCTATCCTCACACTGCCTGTGATCAGTAAGTTCCCACTTTCCTGATTCTCTGGAAAATATCTCTTTGGCTAAATGACATTTTATTTTCCGACTGCTTCGATGTATGCTACTGGGTCACAGTTAGTAGCGACGTGAAACATAAACTGCTCTACCCTCACTGTTAAATACAACAGTCAGCATTTGTATGGATGAAGATTCGCTGAAAGTCGAGTTCGTAACAGTATTAAGGTATTTGACATTATACTGTTCATAAGCTAGAGACAACGTCAGCAATTTTGTCTTCTGCTCCCATTACGGTCACTCAAACACGTGTTCAGCGAAGCTGTATTTGGTCTACGAACCTCTCGCCCTAACGACAGTCGTCTATTTCGGACTCGCTTTCCTCAATTCGTCTTTTTCAATAAAATAGAATGATGCTTACAGATTTGTTGAAAACCAGATAACTGAATACGGACACCCCATTACTCTTTTCTATGCTAGGCTTTAGGAGTTCCACTTACGACCTGCTTCTCGTTTTATTCACGAACATACTCATGTTGGGGACCGAGCGACTTTGCTTTTCAAACGCAATTGTACAGCAGGATAGGATGGAAGTTGGCTAGGATTCAGAAGAAAGTTGGGAACACAGTCGGTCCATTTAGAGTGGTCGATATGAGTAGGTAGTGTTGGGTGTGTTGGATGGCTTGCGGCACTTACGTGAAACGAAAGCTCACCGACTTATTCCGGGCCCAAGCGTATGATAAAATGTTATTTGGTCTACGCTATTTTCAGAATATAAAGTATTTATCTTTTTCATATATTTTGTGGCATCCCTAAGAAGTTTTGCTTGGCCTCAACTGCGTGACCTTTTGAAAACTGTCTCCCATTTACACATCTATGAGAGCAAAAATCTCATACCACAGCCTGAAGTTAACTGGTAACGAGAATTTTTAGTAAACTTTGGGTATCTGTTCTCATTTTTTGAGCGAATCGATCATTTTGATGGTCACTTCCCTGACCTAAGTCAATCTTGACTGGGAAGATGAAAGTCTCCAGCTGTTTGACCCTTCTTAGGCATACCAAAACACAAATATTTTCACTGCCTTCAAAATGTAATTAATGTGTCCAAAAGGAAAACCGTGCCAAGTTTCACAGGGGCATTCTTTCAGTAATTCATTAAAAGGAAAACAGTGATTGTCTGTTCAATCGACGTGAGCTACGTGATTGTAGTGAGTTTTGACTATTTGCTTCCTGACAGCAAGTCAACCATTCTAGTGACTAGACCCATCCATAGTGAAACGGTAGATGTCCAGTTCTCTGCAGATTCGCGAAATGCGCCTTGCGACGGTTCTCACTAAGGACCAACAGAACCTTTCACCTCTTCAGCTTGCCATCCGCGATATCCAGACCCAACCCGATACAAGTTTGAGTAGATAACCGTTTCTGGACCAATCAGGTCAGTGAAAAAACATGAGTGGTTCAGTCTTGAAGAAGTTGTGACACCTTATACATAAACGTTTGCATCCTTACGTTTGCATTCTTATACTTGTATCGTCAATAGAAAAAATACCAGTTCCTGATTTCTGGGCCCGAACGGTTTTCACTGGACCCACTTACGGGACAAAACCTCCTTTGAAACCTTCCCAGATCTCCTCATACCGTTAACAAATAGCCGAATGTGATCATGACAACTGCTACATGGTGTATACGAGTGGGTTTCTAGACCAATAGTTAATGGTAATAGTGGTAGCAGTAATAAATACGGTTAACAAACACAGGTAATAAATGTAAAAACTAGATAGTTCAATTTCCAAGGAACTGGAGCCTTCAAAGCAAGACAGGCTAGGTAG